AGTTCAGTTCAGTTCAGCTCAGCTCAGTTCATTTCATTTCAGTTCAGCTTCTAATTTCCTTTTCTTATAAAATATTCATTTTAGTTCAGTTCAGTCAATGGGAAAAGGCCTTTAGACGGTGAGACTGTGTCAAAATTTTTACGCTTTTAATTTACTTGCACAAGGCGTACTACTTTGCTCAAATTGAAGAAAAAAAAAGAAGAAGGTATGTACTTCATATTTGCTAAATAAGGTTAGAATAATAGAATGATATACTCGGTGCCTATTTTTTACAAAAAGAGTATTTATGGTATCTAAACTGAACTTATTATTAGAGCTAAACTGAGAACTGAACTGAAATAAATATTTTGTAAAAGAAGGAAATTAGGAGCTGAATTGAACTTATTAGAGCTGAGCTAAACTGAATTGAAAATAATCGTATAAGAACAGGCCCATACTAATTAGCCCATTGTAATTGTCAAGAAAGAAAAAAAAGAAGGAAAAAAAAAAAAAAAAAACCCTTGTACAATTTTCAGGAAAGTCCTCTATTTTTTTTTTTAGAAAATATTACAAAAAAGAAAACCCTCAAAATGGCAGCAAATCTCTCAATTTCTTTAGTACGTACTACTCAAAATCCTCAAAGATCATGCAAGTAAAGAACAATTACATGCAAAAAATTTCAACTATTAAGAAAATTTTATAAAAAACGCGTGACAGAAATAATTAGCTGGAATGAAAAATCCTTTTTAGAAAGAAAGTGAAAATAAAAAGTTGATCACATCAAAACAAGGAAATTAGTCAAATATTTAAGTAATAGCAAGGAACTATTTATGCCTTTATGGTAAATTAACAGGATTCTACCATAGAAAATCTTAATTTTATGGAAATTTTAAAAGCTAGTTTCTATTGATAAAATTATTTGCCCCCAGTGGCGTCACCAGGATTTTCGAAGTGTGGGTTCGAAACTTCGGAAATTTGAAATCGTAATTAACAAAAGAAAAAAAATATAATAATTAAATATTCAGTACATAAATAAGTTCAAAATATGGATTACAAATAGATTACACATAGGTAAATGAAAAGAAAAAAAAAAAAAAAAAAGATTACAGAAGCATTCTTCGAGTCTTCATACTTTGAAAGTGTTCCAATACATCATCATCACTAACTCTTGAAAATAAATCTCTCTTAAGAAAAGTGACTAAATTATCATTCAATAATTGATCACCCATACTATTTCGCAACTTATTTTTTACGTATGTCATTGATTAAAACACTTGTTCCACGCTTGCAGTTGCAACCGGAAGGATCAATGCTAGTCTTATAAGCAAGTAAACTTTTGTAAGTAGTATGCTTATTTGTTTCAACAAGCATCATAGAAAGCTCATGAATACCCTACGATATCAAAAAGCTATTCAAAATTAATTTAGCATCACCAAATTAATAATAGAAGCAACCTACTATTACTTCTATTAGACCACCATTAGTACTAAACAACAAAATTCAGCACAAATGACAAATCCCAAGATTAATCCAACATCCATAATCCATCCAATCCAACAAACAAACAAAAGATAACACCAAATTCAAACAAATTCCAAATCAAAGTTCATAAAATAGCTTAAAAAGTTAAAAGCCAAAACAAATTACCTTGAGGGCTTGAGAAAAATCAGCAAGGTAAAACATCGAAACAAAGAGAAACAACATCACTGAAACTCTGAAAGTTGCATTTTCCACCATTTACAATATCAAAAAGCTATTCAAAATATCACAAAAAAAATCCCCAAATTGAGAAGTAAATTACATTAGCCAAAAATAAATCCCCAAATTCACTTACCTAGAGTCCTAGACGAGTAGACACGGGCACACGGATGTCGGGCTGTGACTGTGACTTGCTGACTTCCGCCAGTCCGCCACTGGGTTGAGTGGTTGTGGCCTGTGGGTCTGCTTCGCTTCGCAGCTTCGAGCCTTGGCTAGTACTCAGCCTGCATTTGCGCCGGTGGGTTGCAAGAAAAGGAGGACGAAAGAGAAGAGAGAGAGGAAGAACGGGAAGAGAAGGAGGAAGAGGTTAGGGTTTTTCAATTTGGGGGAATGAGGAAGACTGGAAGAGGAAAGGTTTCATTCTTCAGTGTTAGGAAAACAGAAAATGAAATTAAAAAAAAAAAGTGTGAGTTATGGATTTTGAACCCACAACTCTTGTGTGATGGGAGCTAAAAATAACCACTGGGCTACAGCTTTACTTTTTATCATATATTACACAAATATTCTATTTAAACCTATTTTAATTTTTTTTTAAAATTTTTTTTTAATTTTTTTCAAAAAATCAGTGGGTTCAATGAACCCACTTGAACCCATGCTAGTTCCGCCCCTGCCCCCCCCCCCCCTTTTTTTTTGCTCTATCCTCTTAAATTATATGGATAGGATCATCAAATTCTTAAACTCACCGTCCATTTATTGTCTTTATATTATAAAGTCTTCAACTATATAAGTATTATAAATTTCTTACAGTTCACCAATATCTAATTCTCTTACATTATAATTTCTCTCCTTTTTTATTTCTCTAAACTTCCTACTACTACATTCACAAAAAAGCTTAGAATAAGATCATGGATAACTTGGAGAATGTGGAAGATTTAACTTTTTTGTGGAATTTTGACGAGGTTTGTTTATCAAGCACTTTTTTTTTCTTCCTTACATTGATTCAATCGCTTGTTTCTTTAGTAGTTAGTTATCCATGGGTCGGGAACAAGCAGATCCCAACCCAAGGACATTAAACAACCTTATGGAAGGTTGGTAATGGAGCAATGTACCTAGAATTCTAGATTGCTAGGATGTTCTAGCATTGAAATTAATTTGATTCGCTTTCGTTTATGAATACTTGTACTTGATGCAGAGAATGTTCTAGCTAGGTGTAAATGTGTAATTATCTAGTGTTAGTACAATAAAACAGTGTATCATGTATGGCGGCCGGCTGACTATTTTCCAAACTTTATACCATCATTCAAAAAATAACAATCATTTTTATTTTGTTTGTTTTTTTGACTTGGAAGGGACTTGTAATTTGATAAGGTTTATCATACTGTTGATTTAATCTTTCTCCTAACTTTAGAATAACATGTACGTACATTTAATATGTTCGTTAAAAAAAAAAAATGTACTCTCTAGTCTTATTTTCCACACTGAGAAACAGAGGAAACAGAGGATTAATGTTACAATAATGTTATAACCTATGATACTGTATGTGCTGAATTTTCTTATGTACGATTGATTTGCAGACCGAGAGCGATCTAAGGATGCAGCTACTACGTGTGACGAAAGAACTAGAACAGGCAAGAAGAGAAAAAATTGAAAAGGAAAAACTTAACATGGAGAATGTCAAGAAACTGATTTATCTTTTGGAATTTGCCTACAAGGAAAGAGATGAATTAAAACACCAATTGCGTACACTTTCGATGGTCAAGGGTTATAATAAACCTTGCGCTTGTTCATTGCCAACGACAACAACAACAAACACGTACACAAGTTTACCAAATAAACAAGAACAAACTAATATAGGTTCTGTTGTTGGTCAAGTCCAGACTGATTCAAATGCATGCAACCTTACTTCTAACCCGTCTATTACCCTACCAACAAATCAAGGCTTTGTTATTGGTCAAGTCCAGACTAATTCAAATATATGCAACCTTACCTCTAACCCGCCAATCACTTTACCAACACATCAACAACAATTTGGTACAAATCACCTTAACCCTAACAACACAACAAATTTTCCTACCATGTCTTCTCAAAGTCCCTTGATGATGGTTAATAACAATGCCAACCTCTCGGCTAATAAGGTCAACTCGAGCATGACTACCTCATCATCGTCCATGGATTCATTCTTCGACGTAGGTTCTTCATCCGACGTAAGCTACTTGGGTAATCCTGATAACCTAATGAAATGTACTAACTCAAGTTATGATGCAAGTGTGTTGGACAATTTAGCACAAGGGAAGACTAAACCTGAGAAAGGGAAGCTTCTACAGTCAGTGATTGAGGCGGGTCCTACTCTTGACTCTCTTTTGGTGGCCGGACCACTGCCCGAGTGGTCGAACCCGCCGCAACTAGCGTATGATCCACAACTACTTCCTCCTGTGCCTGTTTCAATGAGCAAGCGACCACAACACCATGAGACTTTAGAGTACTAATTAATAATTTGAATTTTTTATTTGCTATTTTTTTTTAAAGTTTAAGTAGAGTAATTCGTAGTTAAATTGATTTAGTGAATATTCTAATTAGAATGACTATTAAATTGTTATTGTTATTATTCACAATCTTTATTTTTCAATTAATTGGAATAAACTTTTTTTAGCATTAATTTGTATACTCTTATATTTGCTCCCCGGCTCATATAATAATTATCGAGTATTTTTTTTTTTTGACCGGTAAACTACGGGGAGGGGCCCCATTCTATCTCAGGAGTGGGGCTGTGAGGAGTCGAACGCCCATCACATGGGGGGGATGGAGGGACCAACCATCCCTCCATCCCTCACTCCTCAATTGATATCATGACTTTGAAATATAATGGCTACCCAACTATTGTAGTTGGGTAATAATTATCAAGTATTAGATAGAAGATAATTATTTTGATTAATTTATGGATAGTAGTGTTTTACTTTAAGGTTAGTACGATTGTTCATGTATTTGATACACAGCATAACAAATTAAGAGCAAAATTGCCTCATTATTTCCTGAGTTCCTTGTTCAATACTACTCCGTAGCTGTTTGTGGAGCGAGTAGAGGAGTCGCAATTGAGGTTTCAGATCTCCAATGAAGAATATTTATGTTGCAATGTTGCCTCTTTACTTCCTTCTCCATAACACATCTATGTTGTTACCAATTCAACTTACAATGTTAAAGATAGATTGTGATCAAATTTGTGCCCTTAGTAGATGGGCCTCAGATGTATTTATGGCTTGAAATCGAAAATGGGCCTAAAACAATGATAATGGGCCAAAAAACAATGATAATGGGCTATAAAACAATGAGACAAAATTATCATTATCATTCAGAATCCGGAATATGATCTTTGTACAAGCTATTTTCATGTACTGTACTTGCTTGTGTAATTTTAGTTGTATTTAATTTGCAAAAGAATAATACAAGTAAACCTTTTCTCCTATAATGAAAAGATTAAACTGTTTTGATAAAAAAAAAAAAAAAATATGGTATGTTTAGAAGGAATATGTACTAAAAATTTCAACCTTTTTCTTCTTCACTCTCTTGTGTATCCGACGAATCAATGAAACCCGCCGATGATTCTTGTACATTAGATCCATACATATGCCCCATCTTAACACGTTTGGTTTCCAAGTACCTTCTATTTTCACTAGTTATAGGTGTTAAGACAGGAACTCTTCCTACCACAGCCAAGCCATAACCCTTCAAGCCAGTGAATTTTGCCGGATTGTTGGTCATCAGCCTCATGGTTCGAACCCCAATATCCCTCAGAATCTGACAGTGAAATTTGCAAACCTAAGATTCAAAGTTGAATATATATAAACATATTTGCTACTTGTTACAGAAAAAATTGCAATTAGCATGGAAAACTACCTGTGCACCAATACCATATTCACGCGCATCAGCAGCCAGTCCTAGTTCAAGGTTGGCTTCAACTGTGTCATGGCCTTGGTCTTGCAAGTTATAAGCTTGAAGTTTATGTCCTAAGCCAATTCCTCGCCCTTCATGGCCTCGTAGATAAAGAAAAACTCCTCTTTCCGCTTTCTCAATCAGTTCCATTGCTAGAGCTAGTTGGTTCCCACAATCACATCGAGCAGAACCAAATACATCACCTGTTAAGCACTCGGAATGAACTCTTACTAGGATGTCTTGACCATTTCCTATGTCTCCCTATACATAAATTAAAGATTAGATTTTAGTGCCTTAAAGTAGGATTTAGAATTGATTTTTGAAGAACAATAAGCATCGAGTTAACACCTTTACAAAAGCTACATGCTCAATTCCATCTAACTTGGAGTGATAGCAGTAAGCATCAAATTGTCCCCAATCTGTTGGAACCCTTGAAACCACAGTTCTTTCTACTAATCTTTCCCTTTTTCTTCTATATCTGGTATCAATCACAAACACATGAATCTAGAATGTACTCACCTACAGAAAAATACTCGATAATATGTAAGAATTAGCTATGACAAGAGCTGATCATGGCCTCATGGGCTGGCTAGGCCACACCCCAATATTGGCGGCTTTTATGGCCTGACTCGTTGACAGTTCAGGTCGTATCAACCTTGATCAGCTATTAATATATATACGATTTTGTAGATTTTACCTAATCAAATCAGTGATGGAGACTATAGGAATGTTGTGCTCCAAAGATAGTTTTCTCAAGGTGGTTAAAGAGGCTAGTGAACCATCATCTTGATCAATTATGGCCGAAAGAACTGAAACTGGTCTTAATTCAGCCAACATAACTAAATCAACAGAGGCTTCGGTATGTCCTGCTCTCCTTAGAACCCCACCATTTCTATACTTGAGGGGGAAAACATGACCTGGCCTTCTGAAATCTCCGGGTTTAGAGTCCGGAGATGCAAGAGCAGCAACTGTTTTTGCCCTGTCTGAAGCTGATACACCAGTTGTTGTGCCCACTTTAGCATCCTTAAATTTCACAGCAAATTAAATTATGTACTCATACAATATAATGCATTCCGTATTTTGGTTCTATATGTCTTGTAATCTAGAGTTAAAGCAAAAGCAGAACTTCCCGGCTATCTGAGACACATACCACAGTGACAGTGAAAGTAGGAGCAGCAGAATCTGCATTTTCGCTATCTGGTGACATTAGAGGAAGCTTTAGTCTTACAAGATCATCCCCCCTCATTCCTACCGATACGATTCCTGTTCCATGTTTGACCAAGAAGGCCATGGCTTGGGGACTGACTAATGATGCTGCCATTACTAGATTTCCTTCGTCTTCATTTTCATCATCTACGACAATCACAAACTGGTAGTTTGACAGGTTACTAACCATCATGGATATTAGAAAATGCACAAATTTATCCTTAATGAAAATTTCACTTGCCATTGGAATAATCAAATTTGTAACGTAAATTGGCTATGTTATACTAGAAGTTACCAATAAAGAATATTTATACAAGTACAATTACATAAATCCTATGTTTTCTTAGCCATCTAGGATTCTAGGATATCATACTTGGACACTTCAGAAGTTCAGATACTACATCTAAAGGTTCAAACATACACTAATTGATGTAAATATTCAAATCGACCCATAAGTCACCCCTAGAATATGAGACCGTCTTGTACAAGATTTTGCTATTACAACAAACATATATGATGGGTAAAAGTAAAGAATTAAAACAGAATGATGAATTGGTGGGGTAAAAAAATTTAACCTTTCCTTGTTTAAGAGTGATGAGAGCCTGATCAATAGAGGAAAAACCTTTGGTGGGGCAATCAGGATCACCTTCAGCATCACTAACAAAAAAATCAATGGATTCTGAGTTAATTTTAGCATCTAATGCGCCAAAAGAAGCTGAATTATTATTCAGAGACCCATTTTGGTTTTCCAAATTATATGAACTCAGATCATCAAAGCTAGAAGCACAGCAACTCAAATTCCACCATCTTTTATTGTGCTTAAAGAACAAGGATCTGGGTATTCTGAAATTCAGTGGAAAATTAAAGTGTGAAAATTATAAAAATTATTAGCTAGCCTTAAAAATAAATAAAAAGGGACTAAAAATTATGAAGCTTGAACTTAGATTAATCTATGATAATACCTTGATCGAGTGGAAATATGAGGAAATATAGGATGAGTACAGGGGATGGAGCCCATTAAGTTGAGTTGAATGAGTTTAGAGCCAATAAGAATGTGTTGCTAAACTAGAGCTTTGGCAAGTTCATGGTTTTACATATTTTGTTTTCAATTATAACCTCTAGTTTTGGATTGCGTTTTGTGTGTTTGGGAGTGGACGATATAGTCAATAGCTATCGAGTTTTGTCTCCTTCATTTACTAAGGTAATGTCATGTGTTTGTTTTGCCAAATTATGCTACTGTAAAAATAAACCACTTACGAAGTAGTATCATATTGATCCGCCCATATTTAGGTACTATTTGAACTTATTTCTTCCTTGATGAATTTACAAGAAGAAGGTATTGTATTTCGCGGTTTAATAATCTAGTACGGAACTTATTGTATTTGAACTTATTGTAGTTGATATTAATGCGTAGTAGACATTGATGCCTTGATGGTATGTTCTCCCCCATGTTATAAAGAGTAAAAGAGTGTAATCTTGTAATGGTATGATTTATTGTCAAATTCTGGTATGCCTTCAATGGTACTGAGATCAAGGTCGTTTAGCTGTAAATTGAATTTAAGTAATCCTTATTAACCTTTCTCTTAGAAAAAGATGTAAATTGAATAAATTGGTATACTTCATATTAGAGTAAAAAACAAACACAAAAATTGACTAAAAAAACCATCTATAAATTCTCATTGAACATTCAAAACAGAATCCATAATTAAATAAAATCTCAAGCATCCTATACGCGAAAATCGCTTATTCAAATAGTCCAACCATAGTATCAATTGCTGGTACGTACTCAGCATTCATTTTCTTAATTTGGAGGGGGGAAGAAAATTTCATCAGAAGTCCTTGTTGAGCGGAATTGCTGCTCGATCTCAGTAGGCACCTTGAAGGCGGCTTCCAGCACTTGTGGCGATAATGCCTTCCAGACTGAAGTCTTCCCTGCTAAGTGTGTAAAAACAGGACTGCAAACACACAAAAAAATAGTTGTTAGAAAATCTATCTTGAGTCTCAATAACAAAAGGCAACTCAACTGATACAAAAGAAAGGATTCTGTTTCTTACTTTGGAGTAGAGATGATAGAAAACCACTCCAAGCCATCATCATCCGCAATCTTTGAAACAACAAAAAACCGGGGCACAATGAACAGATTGCCTGCTGTGATCCTGGTCTCCAACACCCTCTTACCATCAACCCCGACTACTTGAACTCGACCACTACCTCTAACGATGTAAGTCACCTGGTAGGCAGAGTCACAAGAGAACCCTGGAGAGCACATAGCTTTTCCATAGAGCCTAACAAGGTCAGCCCCAAGGCCTACCTCACCTACCAAAGGCAAGTTCTTGGTGTTCAAGACGACCACCTTTCCACCACCCTTGATGTCAACATCCAAGGGAGCTTCCTCGCAGTTCAATGCCATTCCATCACGGTGTTCCTTCTTGGGTTCAGGCATTTTGTGGGACTCGCTAAGCTTGACAATGCCTTTAGAGGATTGGTTACTGACAAGGGTCTTGACAACATCTTCAGGCAAGTCCCATGCCCTGCTAACAAATTCGGGTGTGAATCCAGTAAAGATTCCATTAGTACCGGTCAGGAAGAAATCAGTGAATTCACCGCGTTTGTGAGCCTTAGAGGTTTCACCCAAGAAGAGGACAGTTAGTTCAGTGTCCTCTTTGTTGTACCACCAGGTGACCACACCAAAAGGAAGCGCGATTGCATCTCCCTTCTTGATTGCAATCACCTTCTCCTCCTGCTCAGGGAGGACAATTCCAGCTACTCCTTCACCTAAAACACAATCACAACACAATATACGAAAGATTTATCAACCACAATTATTTGTTAACATGTTCAGGTCATTCATAAAACAATACATTAAACAAAAGAAAATGTGATAGCTAATCCTTAAAAAGTCAACTGTCCATTGACTAAGGGAGAGTGCAGAGCATAAATCTGTGTTTACGTTAATTATTAAACAAATACAAGTATAAATTATTACACCTTCCCTTAATAATAGGCCACGATTAAAACATCCCTCCGTTTTTTTAGAGTTTATTCTAACGATGAAATCATCCGATTTTTATAGTATTTCATATGATTGCAAGAAAGTATAAAGTACCCATCAATCAAAATCATGGTCAACGAACATCGAACTATTCTAACGATTAAGATCACACGATATTTCTTTGGAAAAACATCCTTTTCAAGGGTTTCTTAACATTAACTATTCAAATATTGAATGATCGATCAACCAAAATCATTATTTTAATTGAAATCAATCAAGATTCAAGAATAATCATCATTTTAACCCGACAAAACCCTAAACAATTTACCGATTATTGAAATCCACAAAGTTTATCAACTTCAAATAAGATTTATTATAGTAATATAAATTCGTTGTTTGATACAAAAATCATAAATATTAAACAAAAACAAAAAAAGCATTGACTTTCGATACAAATTAACTCTAACAATGGCTATAATAAAATAATGCACAAAATCGAATTTCCAACTTAAATTAATCAACATGCATGACACCCACTAACCCAAATCCAAATTACATCATAATAAATCATCAAAATCAAATTTTTTAAAAAAAGAAATCAAAAATCAAAGAAGTAAATTAATAAAGATTGAAAAAGATTATACCTTGAAGAACATAAGCAACTTTAGATGAATCAGAATAACGAGGAAGGGCAAATCCGTATTTTTCAAGGGAAAGCTTAGCAGCTCCAATGTTGCCTTCTTTAAGCATGGGAAGTTCAGAAGGATTCCATGAATGGTAGGAACCTCCTTCACCACCATAGATCTTCTTTGACAATTTTGGGGACAAATCAAGCTCCATTTTTTCTCTGTTTTTTTGATCGAAAAATCAAAACTTTTTTTTTGAGGGTTTTTCTTTTTTTTTTGAGGAACGTTTTTGTTTTAGAATTGAGTGACAGAATAGGTGGGTTTTAAAGGGTATTTATAGCAAAAAAATAGGAGTATTAATTATAGGGTGATTAGGAGAGATAAATATGGGAATAAGAAATTTTGATAAAACAGAATAATGGATTATGTTTACGATTTACACTTTTTAGATAAAATCAAATTGGAGTAATTTGATTCTTATTATGAGTCAATATTTGCTTTAATTTATCGGTTTCTACTTTTAATAATCAGCTGTTACAAATTTAGACTTATAAACAATTTGTAAAAGGTATCCCTCAATTTCATAATGTTAACGCCTGTTCTTTTCACCTTAAAAAAATAATATTAACTAAAAATAATTTTAGTTCAGTAAAAATAAGTACAGTTCAGTAAAAATAAGTTCAATTCAGTAAAATTCAGTTTTCTTAAAGAAGAATTATAATAAAAAATCAGTAAAAAATAATTTCAGTTCAGTAAAAATAATTTAAGTTTAGTAAAAATAATTTTAGTTCAGTAAAATTAAGTTCAGTTCAGTAAAAATAAGTTCAGTTCAGTAAAAATAATTTTTGTTCAGCAAAATTAAGGTGAATCAAACAGGGCCTTAGTCTCATATACTATTTTGAGCGTTTTAAAAAAACTATCCATATATATTGAATATATTTCATTTATAACTTGATTTTTTTTTAATTAATTGATTGTGGATTGATGACATGACTCTAAGTAAGGAAATTTTTACCTTAAATTATACAATTATGACTTGTGCTTTCCTAATGAAAAATCAAAAAAGTTAAATACGGTAAACTAATTATGAAATTTGTTGTATTTTAATGTTATAGATTCCAAATATATTTGTTTTCTTATTTTATGTAATTGATTCCATATGCAACTAACATTATGAAATGGAGGGAATAAATTATTACTTCGTATTAATTTAAAATTATGTAGTTACCATTGAAAAAAGAATCATTGAGAACAAGGAAATTGCTCGTACAAATTATTTAGAACGAGGAAAAGTAATACTCGAATAATAGGTCTTAACTTTTATATTATTAAAATATAAATTTATCTTATATGTGATTCTACAATCTTTGATTTGTCCACATTTACTTGCAAAGTAGTGAGGATAATGTGCCTTATATGGTGATTTATTAATTTTTTTGGGTGTGAATTATACACATAATCCAATATTTACTTTCCAACTTAAAAGGTAAACTCTTTACTACTTTTTGGATAAAATTAAAAAGGATTATTTTAAATAAGTTAGGATTAATGACATATAACGATAATGAAAACCATAAGATAAATCATAGAAATACAATTACGTAGTATGTAGGGCGTGTTCTCATACGATTATTTTCAATGCAGTTTAACTTCTAATTTCCTTGTTTTATAAAATATTCCCTCTGTCCCTAATTGTTTGCCCTAAACCATAAATTCACTTTATTAAGACTTTGGGCAAAAAATGGTGCGGTTGACACAAATATCAACTAGGAGAGAGATAGAGAGAGTGCATGTGGGAAAACATGCCAAAAGTAGTATGGGACAATCTTTTGGGGACACCTTAAAAAGAAAAGTGGAGCAAACCATTAAGGATAGAAGGAGTATTCATTTCAGTTCAATTCAATTCAATTCAGTTCAACTCTAATAAGGGTCAGTTCAATTCTGTTCATTTTAGTCAATGCGAACGAATCCGTAGTATATTGAAAATAGTATAGTGCACCCGGAAAGAACATTAGACATATTTTAAAGAACATGGGCAAAAAAAAGAACATGCTAGTGTTAGACAAAGAACATACCTATGTTTGACAAAAGAACATGTTTGTGTTTGACAAGAACATGACATTACAAAGAACATAAAGTCTTTACAAAAAGAACATATTGTTTTTCATGGTTATTTAGGTGTTGAACGTGTTTGAAAAAGAACATTATATTTGACAAAAAAGAACATGTTCGTATTTGATAAAGATGTAGGTGATCATTGGGTGGGCCGGGCCAAGGTTAAAAAATCAGCTCACTTCTCAGGTCGGGCCAAATTTTGGGCCGAAGTTTTTGTGCCCAAAATTGTCCGGTCGTGCGGGCTTTTCGGGTCGAGTAAAAAAATCAACTAAAATGCATAAAACGCATTCCCAAACCCACCCAAAAAATTAAATTTAAGGGCCGGGTCCGACCCGATTTTGGGGGCGAAAAAAATTCTGCCCAAAACCTGTCCAAAATCGGGTCGGCCCTTTCTAACTTTGATCACCTCTAGCCAAAGAACATAAAGTCTTTACAAAAAGAACATGATCATACATTAAAGAACATGTTCTTTTTTCAAAATTAAAGAACATATTATGCTCATGTTCTTTATAAATATATATAATGTTCTTTTTTTGCTTATGTTCTTTTAAATATACCTTATGTTCTTTTAAATATACCTTATGTTCTTTTCGGGTGCACCACTCGGGTGCACCAACCATACATTAGTAGTATATATGATCACTTAAATTAAGTTTTATGTTTAGCCTCGCTTCTGTCATTGTTGGTTCCTTAAAAGTCCAAACACAAATTAGAGCCCGGCCCGAAAGGCGCGATATTATATTATACTCCAGTACAAGTTTGGGATACTAAAGATTTGACTCTCCTAAAAAAAAAAAAAAACTCCTCTTTTGTCTCCGCAATATCGCCGTCAACAACGCCTCCTATTGTTGTTACTGCTTCGCGGACTCACGCAGATTACAAGACGATCTCACCGCGGGTTCTTCCTCCCTGCGTAATCTCTCCTCGAATTCGATTTATTTTATTTTATTTTTAGTTATTTGTTTCATATTTTGATGGGAATATAGTGTTTTGATACTAGTATGATTCGAGTAAGTTTAAGATTTATGATATTAAATAATTGAATTCTTTTACAATTTTGACAAACATTCGAGATTGATTGGGGATTTCAGGGGTGTTACGTAAAGAGCAACAGCCCATGCCTCCCAAGCAGAAAAGAAAGGTGAGTGTTGTTGAATCTCCATTAATTACTTTTTTCAGACCTAATTTTTCCTATTAATAAACGAAATGGAAAATTTGTACTCCCTCTGTTTTATAATGTTAGTCCTGTATGCAATCAATCACATAAAATAAGATTAAAAATATATTTGGAATCTGACATTAAAGTAAACCATAATTCATACTCCGTAATTAGTTTACCTGAATTAATTTTTTATACTTAGAGCCATGTCATCAATTCAAAAAAAAAAAAATCAAGTTATAAATGAAGTATATTCAATACAGGTATATCTTTTTTAAACGTCCAAAATAATATACTCCGTAACTAAATACTCTAAAACTTGCAATGTTCAAAGTAGAACCGTTTCCGGTGTTAGCGGTTATACCAATGATGGTAAGAAAACCGCTACTGGTGTTAATGGTACCATCTAAGGCCATTTATTTAAAAGTTTGTAATTTGAGTAACATGCACATGTTAAGGATATATTACGCTTGGGCAGGGAGTGTTTTTCTTGCTCTTTCTCTTTTGTCAGACGGCTAGGAAATGGTGTAGCCCATGAACTTGCTTTGCTTAGTAGTAGTTTCAATGAGTTTCGTGTTTGGCTTGAAGAGTATCCCCTGGAATTACATGGGGCGATTTGTAATGATCTTGAAAACTTGTTGATTTAATAAAATTCTAAGCTTGATGTTTGTCAAAAAAAATAAAAATATTTGGGATTGTTTACAAAAGAAATGTTGTTGATTTAATTGGCAGTTGAACATAGATCTGAATAAAGATCCAAATGAAGATGATGAGAGTGGGAATGTGGATTTGATAAGTGGGTTACCTGATGATGTGCTGATCTTGATGTTGTCCTTAGTGGATATAAAAACAGCAGGAAGAAGTAGCCTTGTTTCCAAGAGGTGGAGACATCTCTGGACTAACCTAATGGATCTTGATTTCGACAACCCCGAAACCAGTGCTATTGCAAATGCAATGATTATATCATTTACTTGTGCAAGCTATGGGCAACCCGAAATGGATAATTATGTTAAATGTGTTAACCAGGTTATAAATGCAAGTGGAGCTCCATATCTTAAAAACTTCAGTATACATTTTCCCCTGGGCATATTTTATGCTGCTCATATTGAAAATTGGGTCAGATTTTCCTTGAGTAAAAAGGTTCGCAATTTGGAGATCAATTTGATGACAGCTTATTCAAGAATCCTTTTTTCTAACATAATTACTACCAACCCTGCCATGGTTGTGAATACTACGCTTGAATCGCTTCTCTTAAGTTACATCACTATAGATGTACCTCTGCTTGAATGGGTACTATCTAACTGTGTTAATCTTCAGCGTCTATCGCTTCATTGCTGCAAGACCAGGTCTCACACCCCTCCTAAACACCCAAAACTTGTTGTTACATCTCTTAAGCTCAAACACTTGGAGATTTTTTCCTGCTTCAGACCTCTCAACATCCAAGCACTCCATATCTTTGCTCCAAATCTTACTTCTTTTGTATTTTTTGAGACTATTATTGATGTGGAGTATCATAACGTTACATCATTGGTGGATGCTTCTTTTGGACGGATACATTGCCGTCACATTTTCCATAATTTAGACATCCTATCTGGCTTCTCTTCTCAACTCGAAAAACTCTCAATTGAGTGGTCCATGGTTAGTTTGCTTGCTAAAATACTTCCTATGTTGCTAATTGCTAAATTTATGCTACTCAAATTCAAATTATCATGTCAAACACGGGCTCAAGTGGGTATTTGAGGTGAAATGACGAGTTGAGTAACATAGGTTATAATGGTTATTAGGGATTTAGGAGCATACACAAGTATATCCCAAATGCTTTTGATTCATTCTTATTTTGTAGGTACGCTCTGCATCTGGTGGATTTCCAACTTTTGTTAATGTTAAGCAACTGGAGGTTTTTTATTGCCAAAGTGATGGCGAATGTTTTTCCTTGGCCTCTTTGATTGAGGCATGTCCTTTGTTGCATACATTTAAATTAAAGGTAGAATGCATCCTCATATAATTTACTGGTATATAAATATGATTTTTGATTACTATTTTTGCTGGGTTTTTTTTTTTTCTATTAAAATGTGTCAACTCTATGGTGTAAATTGGATTGCTTTGCTTGAAGCAGTTGATATCTTCATCTACAAAACCTGGTATTGTAGACTATTTTGCGAGTACATTCTCCACACATCACTTTGACAAGAATTTCTCCTTATCTTTTCAAGATTACTATTTGATCACTTTATACTGTCACAAATTTTGTTAATGAAACAAGGTTGGTTTTTCTTTTACCTGCTTGGCCTTTCAAGACCATCTTCTCTTTTCCGGTTGATGTTTCTATAAGATAAACTCATAAACACAATCTCATGGTAGCCTATAAAATACAAGTGGCCAAGTAGGGAGAAGAATTTTGTTATTTATTGGGGGCTATTAAGCTAATGAAAAATTTCGTTAGTGTCCAAAAGATGAAGTTTCGAGTTTTATGTTGTGCTTTTTATAACTCGTTTGAGTAATGCACTTTTTTCTTTAATGTTGGAGTATTGACATGAATGAATTTATGTTGGTTTACAGCTACCCCTGTATAGGAGCTTGTTCGAAGGGACAAATTCAGCCCCGAAGGATGCTCAAGTTAATGCAATACGTTCCCACCAACACCTTAAGACTATAGAGTATGTTGGCTATGGTGGGTGTGCAAGTGCTTCCAAGCTTGCACTTTTTCTAACATGGCACGCTTCTATGGTTAGCAAGTTTATTTTTGATCCTCATCGACCCTTATATGTAGGAAAACGAACCAGTGTGTATAGCAGTGTGGATAAGGATAAATTGAAAATTGCGAGAAGCTCTGCTGAGCTGCTTGCGAAACAAATTCGAAGAGGTATTGATGTGGTGATTTTGTGATGGGATGTTTTGAATCGTTTTATGCTTCAGAATATTATGTGACTGAGGCGTTTGGGAATAATTTTGCATTTTGTCTGAAATTTACCCAGAACCTTTGGAATTATAATTTATCTCAATGAGATGTACACTTTGCTCTCTAGTCTTTGAAACACTTTCTGTTTTGACATTTTTATAGTCCATACCCGAATTCCTTTTCTGATTCTGTTTATACTACTTATTGTTATTATTTTGACCATGAAACTACCAATGGGCTTTGGCAACAAACCATTAGTTTGGCCCATAATACTGCCAATAAATTACAATGGGCTTAATAATAGGTGGATCCAAGTAATCAAGATGGGTGGGCTGAGGTTTGTCTAAGGGGCCTGGGCTTGAGTACTTGACCCATTGGCCATTATCAGAACTGTTGGTGAATGAGCTCTGGCCAATTGTGAAACTCTCCTCCCAACTCCCAATTCTTGAACTTTAAGATATAAGTTGCGATCCCCACAAGGCCACAACGCATGGTTATGTCTCAAAGTATTGTGTGAACTGTGCGATAAAATTTAGCGCTTTTAAATGGTCGCACCCTTAAGTCTCATGAGTGCCCTAGAGAAAACGCCCAAGTTTTTCATATAAGGTGGCCACTTTTACACTCGTGTAGGTGACCACCCTGAGATATGAAATCATTAAGAGTGTTTGCTCATCCTCTCAAAATTAAAGCGATGAATTCATCAAATTCGTCTCTATAGGACCACTCAAATATTGGGTTATGAAATCATATAAAGTTTAATTAAAACTAACCTCTCATAACCAAAAATGGTGAATTCTTGAAGTGTGCCTCAATTAACACTAACCTCATGGGTCTTTAATCCATTAAAAGCCCAAAAATTTAACCTCATTTAAACATCACAATGAAAAATATGTCATTGGATAGGTAAGTAATGCTTATTACCACTATGAGTGGTTTTAACCCTATCACTGTTGTATTTCATAAACTACCAATGATCATCCTATGTCCTAATCTTCTACCATAGTGCACAACATTCACCAACAATAAATGAGACATATTTTAGCCACTTTGTTCTAAATTCCACCTATTTTAGAGCACTAAAGTATATTGAACGACATATCATGCAATTCATTTTAGTAAACTTGACTTATCAAAAAATAATCCTTGAAAGTGACATAATCACTTTAGTGAACAATCTCCATCATTTTAAACACTAATTTTCATTAATACAAATTTATTCATAAGAAATTCTAAATGCACAGTTGTTAAATTTGGGAGTTGATGGAAGAAATGAGAAGAGAGAAACATAAGCTACTAAACTTATACTACAGTACTAAACTATACAATCAGCTTGCTGAACTGCTTACACTTTATACCACCACTACAACCAATCATACTACATGAAAACAATCTCAAGTTGATGTAATCAACCCAACATCCAATATCACCCTACAACTTGCACAACATCCTGCCACACTTCAATTCATACCATATCCAAATGATTATCAACAGTAGGATCTTCAAGAATAACAAAACCAACCACCAACTTACAATCAAACAAAGATAACATCTTCTCTAAAGTGAAATCAAGAACCACAATCAAAAAACACCGAGCATCACAGAATTTATTACCCAGTAGTTATAACCCGAGAAAACACCAAAAAATACTTCCAATTCCTCAAAATACATCAAGTAATTTCTTGAAAAGGAACGACAAATTGTCTCGATTTCAAACTTCAACAAACCCAGAAATTCTTGATTAAATCTTTCCCATTCGCCACTGATTAATACTAATCACTACACAAAAAAAAATTAATAGCCGCATTCCATGTATACCAGTGGTATACAGTACTCTGTTAATCAATATTTGCACTCTGTTCTACAAAAAAAAAATAAAAAAAAAATCAATTTTGTACGCTAATTATACGCAATCGTAACCTCTAATTACCTTGAACAAATATTGGTACTCCGAGAATCATCTGAAATACTTGATGGGGTATGCCGTCCAATTCTTGTACAATCAAATCGGTCATTCACGGGGATTTCCCCATTAATACCAATACTGCCATTCCATCCAAAATAATTACGCATATTACGTGCGAATTGAGCTGTTCCGACGTCATCAACCTCCAACATTGGAGCAGTTACCAAGTGGCATAAAAACAAGGCTTCGATTCGACCCCTTAAATGCGGATTTTCCATCGCATTCCATGGTATTTTCTCCAATTCAGAAATTCTTTCTCTAATTCTTGATAATGTTCCAGAAATATTGGTTAGCATTTGAAGATTTTCTCCAGTGAAAGGCTGAATTTGCCGTAACCCCAAAATTTGATTAATTAAATTTGTTCTCTGAGCTCTAAGATTCTGTAATTCTTGCGGTATTTCATCGTTATGTGCATGAGCTATACAATCCCTCATGCACAACAGGAGCTTCATTCGTTGGAGTGAATAAGCGTCCATGACATTGAATTTGCAGAAGGAAAAGATGAAATTCGGAAGGCAAAAAGAAGGAAGATGAAGTAACGGCTAGTTTTTTATTTTTGTTTTGTTTTTTTGGGTTTTTTTGTCGAGACTTTGATATTTAATAAGGGGTTTCACCTTCTTAACCTTTACCCTAAGATTTGGGCTGAAATTTAACCTCAACACTTAACCTTCTTTCTGATTCAATAAAGAATTAGGCTGAAATTCATTTTGGCTCAATTCATAAAAAATGAAAAAGAACTTGCGCCAGATTAAAAGGAGCCCAAAAAGTCCTTGAAAATGACCCATCCAATGTCTTCTTTTGAACATTTAGTTTAAAATAAATAAATAAATAAATCTAGTAAAAAAATATGAATAATTTTTATGTTCATATTTTATAAAGAAATGTTCATTTTGTATATTATAAATGTTCAATTTATATTACAAAGCTATTGAATTATTACGAGTCATATAAAATTTCACAATAATTCAAAATTTGCAACTGTTCAGATTTTTTACTAATTGTTCAAAATTTGTTATCATTCATATTTTTTACTAAATGCTCAAAATTATAGGTGTGGTGCATTGCGATTCTTCAGATTTTTGTTACTAAATGTTCAAAATTTGCGATGCTCGGATTTTTTAACAAAATGTTCAAAATTCGCGATTGTTCAGATTTTTTACTAAATGTTAAAAAGTATAGGCATGATGCATCGTTATGTTTAGATTATTGACTAAATGTTCAAAATTTGCGATGTTCTGTTTTTACTACATGTGCAAAATTTGCATTCTTCAAATTTTTTACTAAATGTTCAAAATTACAAGGGTGGTGCCTATTTGTGTGAACCAATTAGACCCAGCCCAAAAGTTCCAATTTTCAACCTATCCGGTTATCCCCTCCCCATCCCGCTATCAAATCATTATTTCCTATCAAAAATTTACAAGTCATTATTATCGAGAAAATTACAGTACGAATTATTACGGAGTATGAACTAGGGGTGAGCAAAAAATCAGGGTACCCTGAATCGGAACCGGAACCTGTTAGGAACCTCAGGTTCCGGAACCAGAACCTGTACAAGAGGTTCCGGTTCCGGGTAGCAAACTGGAGAACCTGTTGTAATAGGTTCCGATTCAGGTTCTCAATTTTTTGGAACCGGAACCTGTAGGATACCCTGTACCTGATAAAAGTATCACTTAATTTCAAATTATACACTAATTCTTACTCAATTTTTAAATAATAAATATCAAAATTACAATTATAAAAATATATATATTAGACAACTACTATTAGTTTGTCTTATTTGCAAGTTGCAAACATTATAAATTAGTGACCAACTTGTTTTTTATTAAAATTTCCGCGAAAAAGTTAGTGAATATATTAAAATTTCCGGTTCCCAATTTCCAGGACAGGTTCCGATTTCGATTCTCAAATTCCGGTTTCGGTTCTTGAAATTTTTACAGGGTACCCTGTTATGCTCACCCCTAGTATGAACTTGTTAACTGTTACTAAAACAGTAAACAGTTGTTTTTGAGAAAATACAATTTTATTCGAATTACTCTGTTTTTCCCCGAAATCATTCAGAACCAAAACGAAGTGATGTTGAAGATTCATCACTCAAAAATCCCAAAAACTATCACCAAATCACAATTTCAAACCATAACATCTACTTCAAGACCTCAAAATCGAACTCACAAACCATCTTCAAAGCGTCGAAAACCCAAACCAATTCCATTTCTTGATGATCTCAAGCAACTCCATAACCCAGATGAAGCTCTCTCTCTCTTCGAAGATTACACCCAAAAAGGCGCCAAACATGACTACCCTTCTTACGCTTCTCTCCTCTACAAGCTTGCTCGCTCTCGTAAGTTTGATCAAATCGACCCACTTCTTGATTTCATCAAAAATCGCGGGATTCGTTGCCGGGAAGGGTTGTTTATAGCTTTGATGCAGCATTATGGGAAATGTCAATTGGTTGAGAAAGCAATTGAATTGTTTAATCAAATGCCCAATTTTAATTGTGAAAGAAATTTGCAGTCTTTCAATATTTTGCTTAATGTTCTTATTGATAATGATCGATTTTCTGATGCAAATGATTTGTTTTTGAGGTGGAAAGAACTGGGTTTTAAGCCGAATTAGGTTTCGTTCAATATAATGATGAAGGGTTGGTTGGTGAAGGGTGAGTTGGAGAATGCGTGTAAGGTGTTTGATGAAATGCTTGAGAGAGAGGTTCAGCCTACTGTTGTGACTTATAATAGTTTGATTGGGTTTTTGTGTAAGAAGGGTGAGGTGAGTAAGGGTTTGAAGTTGCTTGATGAAATGATTAGCAAAGGAACGCACCCGAATGTGGTTACTTTTGTTCTATTGATGGAAGGATTGTGTTCCTTAGGGAAGTATAATGAGGCTAAGAAGATGATGTTTGATATGGAGTACAGAGGGTGCAAACCTCGTCTTGCCAATTTCGGGGTTTTGATGACTGATCTTACTCAGAGAGGGAAGTTTGATGAAGCAAAATCATTGATTAATGACATGAGGAAGAAGAGGCTAAAGCCAGATGTTGTAATTTATAACATATTGGTGAACTTTTTGTGTAAAGAAGGGAGAGCCGAGGAGGCTTATAAGGTGCTTGTTGATATGCAAATTAAAGGATGTGAGCCTAATGCAGCTACTTATAGAATGTTGCTCGATGGGTTTTGTCGAGTTGGTGAGTATGAGAGGGGTTTGAGCATCCTAAATGTAATGATGATGAGCCACCACTATCCGCGTTTGGAAAGTTTTTATTGTTTAGTTACGGGCTTGCTCAAGGGAGGGAAGATGGATGATGCTTGTTTTGTGTTGGAAGAGATGGAGAAGAAGAACATGAGATTTCAAACTGCAAGATGGGAGTCTCTTGTTGTAGAGCTCTGTGGTGATGGTGATGACTCTACTGTTAAACTTGTGAGTGAACTAAGCTCAGTAATTTCATAAACTTAAAATAATACATAAATTATTTCTAAGCTGTGACATTTTTTGTGTGCTTGTATGCCTAAACATATGCTTTTCAACTCTTTTGATTTACCTAAGTTCTTGTTGGGCATATCATATGCAAATATTGCATCTCAATAAAGCCGACATGACTACTGTCCCAAGACTCCCAACGCCCCCAAGGCCTCAAGTGGGATAACTAAGCTAGTTAATAGCTACATGCTAAGGCCGTTTTGAGGAACATATGGTATACTTCCACTATATGGAATTAATACTCAGTGATGCCATAGGATGCCTGATTTTATTTTTTTTCTTACATATATCATAACACTGGTTTATGTTTGGATCTTCTAACACACCCTAGTTAGCTAGGAGTTTGTAAGAATAACATGACTATTATCTAAAACTTGTATTTCATATCTTTTATGAAAGAGTGGATGATGTGACAACTAATCCCGTAGTATGGAAGTAATATATACAGTATAGAAAGAAGGTTGGTGGAGAAGTGGAGGTTAAAATATTAGAAATCTGAAGATGGACTGTGTTGTGTTGCTTTGCGCCCATTTAACTGATTATGATTTTTAGAGTTTCTGGCTCAGAGAAATTTACAGGAAAGAGAAAGAGGTGTCTGGATTGTGTTGTTGATCCATTGAGAACCATACTATTATGTTCGAGGTCGGACGGTGGGTATACAAGTCTAATAGTTATGGGCCTTGCTTGTAAAAATATGTTTTGTGGGCTTTGCCACACATCCTAATTGAAAAATAATGTAGTGGTTACCAGATGCAATTGGGGCTGAGATCCATAAGCAATATTTTAAGTATTATAGTGAGCTGTTCCAGTAGCAGTTAGCACCTGAATTTTTCCTATCTAATTATTTTCCCAGTTGAGATATTGAGGTTTAGGTTTCCATGTTCTAACCAACACACCACAATATGATTAATGGCCCAACAACTGCTCCATCCCATCAACTCCATCTTGTTATTCTTCTTCAACTCACTTTTGCTTGCATATATAAACTCCAATGGTAGATTTCAATTTCATCAATCAATCAATACAATTCCAACCAACTAACTCCTAAAAAAAACTCACTGCTTTAGAAAATCAACAATGGCCTTTTCATTCAAGAGCCAACTTTTCCCACTTACACTACTCTTTCTCATTGCATTTGCCACTTCAGCTCGAATCCTCGATGAAGTAGCTGCACCTGTCCCTGAAGCAGATGCCCCAGTTACTGATGAAGCTTCAGGAGTTGGCTCTGGAATTGGGGCTGCTGGTGGAGCTGCTTCCTCTGTAGGAGGGGCTTCCAGTGGAGTCTCTAACACAGGAGGTGGGGCTACTGGAGGTGGGGCTGCTGGTGGAGTTGGTGGAGGTGCAGCAGCTGGGGGAGTTGGTGGAGGTGCAGCAGCTGGTGGAGGTGCGGCTGCTGATGCAGCAACAGGAGCCGATGCTGGAGACGTGGCACATGGGGAACACCCTGAATTGATCTTTTTCATGCATGACATCCTAGGAGGATCTAACCCTACAGCCAAAGCAATCACTGGTGTTGTAACCAATCCTGCTGTTAGTGGGCAAGTCCCCTTTGCTAAGCCCAATGGTGCAATCCTCGCTAACCAGAATGGTGGCCGTCAGAGCAATGGCAACTCTGGTACTATGAACAACAACAATGTCCCCTTCCTCACTGGTCTTGGTGGCATTAATTCTAATGTGATGCAGAACAGTGGTAACAACTACGTAGGAGGGAATGGTTTCCCTGTTGTGAACGGAGCCCAGCTCACTTCAGGGACATCCCTGCAGCAGCTTATGTTCGGAACTATGATTGCAATAGATGACGAACTCACTGAAGGTCATGCACTTAACTCAGGTATGGTAGGCCGGGCACAAGGGTTTTATGTCTACAGCTCAGTAGACGGTAAGACCCAAACCCTGGCCTTTACTGCTATGTTCCAAGAAGGTGGTTATCATAACAGTATCAACTTCTTTGGGGTTCATCAGACTACTGTCTCTGAATCTATTGTTTCCATAATGGGTGGAACTGGAAAGTACGTCAATGCAAAGGGATTTTCCGTCGTCAAAACACTGCCACCTGTTGATCAGCATGAGACCGATGGCCTTCAGACTGTGCTCGAGTTCTCTGTTTTCCTTACATACTAGTGTGCGTTATTGTGTAATTATTGTGATTTCTGATTTTTATTGTAAATCTGAATATGTGTAAACCAATTTGAGTGCTATGAAAAATTTGGTTATTTTTATTACGTTTGATTTGCACATTATTGTCTTTCATAATTCTAATGAGGCCAATTAGCATTTTCTTGATATTAATTTGTAATCAGAATAAATACTACCTACGGGTTTTGGCAACGAACCCATAGTCCGGCCCATAACACTGCAAATAAGTTCAAAAGGTTTATCCTAATAATAGGTGGATCCAAGTAAAAGGGGCCTGGGCTTGAGTACTTGACCCATTGGCCATTATCAGAACTGTTGGTGAATGAGCTCTGTCCAATTGCCCAATTGTGAAACTTTTTCCCAACACACAATTTTTGACTTGTAAATTTTTTATTGTATCACGTCCAATATATATACTTCCTCGGTTTCTTTATATTTGCAATACTTCTCTAAAATGAAAATAGCACAAGACTTGCAAGTTGCAACGCAATAAAATTAGAAAGTTTTTTTTTTGTTAAAAGTTGTACTAATGCCCTTATTTTAAATTTTTAATCTCATGGCCCACTAACTTATACTCCTAACCATCTCTCACCCTCATTTAATTGTATAAATTCATATGAGGCCCAATTTTCTTAAATACCGTGAAAAACGTGTGTTGCAAGTATAAAGAAACAAAAGAACTATAAACTATTTTTATCGCCAACAAATAATAATCCTTCATAACCTTAGTGATCTCAAAAGAACCATTTGATCATGAATTTGGTTGATAATATACGAAGTACGCTGATAAATTAATAGGAGTTCTAAATTTTCACTAAAGTACATAATAATGATACTTCCTCTATTTTTTTTTTATTATTTATAGTTACCATTATTTATAGCTGAATAAAAATTATTCTAATTTATAAGTCGTAATACATATTACGGAGATGCATTATATACAAAGATGTATCACAGATTCACAGTTGTAGATAGGCAAGCATATAACTTTTTTTTTTTTAGTTTTAAATTTGGGACAAGATAAGTTTATAAACTCTACCTTTCTCTCATATAATGATTTGAATTAACGAGTTTTCAAAACAATTGAGCCCCATATACGTAAATCAAGTTGTAAAACTACAAAACACTGAAACTAAAGTGATTAAAGTGGGGTGAACAATGAACAAAGCAACAAAACAAAGAAATCTTTCATCACCCAAAAAGTTGTATGTGAGTCAACTTTATCCGGCCAATTATCCTAAAAATTCCAACACAAGTAACAACTTTCATTTTCAGCTTATTTCTTTAACGCCGGTAAAATTTAACTTATCTTTTTTACTCTTTCACGCATCACTTTCGGTCTTTATTTAACCTACAGCCTACAGGTGTACGAAATATATATCAATAATCATTTGGTAATTTTTATTTTTGGACCATTAATGTATAAAGCATATCATGAACATTATTTGTATATATTCTTTATAAAAATATTTTTTTTTTTAAAAAAGGGATGTTATCATGCATAATTAGATACACGTAATTGGGGAGATAGGGATATTTCAAATGCAGAATAACGATTAAAGTAACATGCATTCATATTTTTCTACCATTGTAATTATTGCTGACTAAGTGAAAGTCATCCCATTTTATTTATTTTTTTAAAATAATTTGTTAAGAAAGGTTATTTCTTTGTAAAAAAAAATAATAATAAAATAAAATAAACTTTAATATATGATCATACGTGTGTTAGGTCTTAGGTATGTACTGATCATGTACGATTAAAGGCAGTGCCAAAATTAGGTGAGTAACTTTAAGCAAATCTCTTATCTTAATCTAGCTTTATTATCCTATACTTTGTATTTTAGAAAAACAACATACTTCATGTTTGGTATTTCAATTCTGATCCATATTGCTATATAATTTGGATCATATAAATTAATGTATGATATACTCTATATATCTATGATTATTGGCCGTCACATAATCATCATGCAAATAGCGTAATTAGAATTCTTAGTACAGTCGTACAGAGTATAACTTAATTCAGATATAATATGTATAATTAAAAAGTATTTTAATTTGCTATACATAATAATGCATTAAATTACATTTTCTTTCATTTACATGCATATGTACTTATGCGTTTATTATTGGTACACAGTTGTTTCATTCGTAAAAATAGTTTAGATAGCCAAGATAGGTGTGTGAAATCATCCATATTATATGTTTATTATTCCATAAAGCTCTAATATTTTCTTGTTATATTATAAATGTTCAAATTAGGAGAAATAAATTAAATACTACTCACATGCATTTATGTACATACTACCTGAAAATTATAGAAAAAGAACAATAATGTTGCTTGGTTGCCACATAACATAACAATTAACCACCCATGGTGCGCCGGTCATATACATAAAAGTTAGCTGTCGTTAACTAATTAATTTCTAATAATAATATTAATGTCACTAATTATATACTCCAAGATCCTTAATAGGTGGATTACCATGGATGTATGCTTTTAGTCTTTTTCCTACTTTCTTCCAGTATTTTCCTTTTCAGCCGTCCAAATAGTGTTATAGTCAAAGAATATACAAATAATTTAAATAAAGCCACGCAAAATTAATTAACAAACAATCACAAAAATTAAAAGAAAAAAGATAAAGTAAAGTGAGGTAATTATTGAGGGAAGTTAAGCAAGATATCATATTGAATAAAAATGACCAAAAAAAAAAATAAAGGATAGAGAAATGTAAAATTTGAGCTTGATTCCAAAAAATGGTAGTTAAAATAGTGATGACATATAATTCTTTTTCTACCTTTGAAGGATCTTTAAGGAAGATGATCGTCCCCTAAAGCAAAAACAAAGATGGCAAGTTTATAGGATAAAATGTCGACCCCACTTTGTCAACATTGTGGTTCTCATGTACATATTAGTAGTTACAAAATGCTTTTGGAAATTTTTGGAGGGTAATTGTAGACTTTTCTTGAAAACAAATATACAATCTAGACTATTTATTAAAAAAAATAAAATTGGATGATTTATTTTAGATAGATCTTGGGTTTATGATTTGTAATTTTATTTAGTATAGAATGATATTAGCTCTCTAATGAGACTAGGTTATTATATGAATGGTTACTACTTTTCTTATTTATTATAGCTAGATTGACAATACATATATCCGTTTTTGACTTCTTTCAAATAAAAGAGTACTTTTTATCTCGTTACAGAAGAAAAATAAAATGTGAGTTGGTATTTTGTCTTAACATTCATAATAGACATCAAATGTACCTTGCATTAAACACGGGTATTATTGGCAAAAATAGATGATTTTCATAAAAAGACCTTTAATTGGGTAGTACTAGGTAATAACTATATAATTGGTATGAAATAACTACAATACATTTAGGTACTCCACTTATTTTGACTCTTACCTATAATGGAGTCCAACTTATTGATTTTCATTTCATAGAAAAGAACTAGACAAGAATTCAAATTCTATCCAATTATAGATACATACAAGACAAATAAAGGAGCAATAAGCAATTCAAATTCAAACAAAATGAAAATCCAAAGTAGCTGAGATATTCCAGATGAAAAACAAAAAAAAAAAAAAAAAAAAGATAGAAAAAAAGGTAAAGTATATTCAAATAGAACCTGCTCCCAATGAAAGGTAAAGTGAATGATAGATGCATAGGAAAAAAATGAATCATGTCTGTAATTTGACCCAACATAAATATGTTTGGGTGCTCACTACTCAATTGTTACTTTCAATGAGTAAAAACTATACAACGCATGCTCTAATTTTCATGCCACATTATTCATATTGGATCATGGCCATGCTAACTCCTCGTGCTTTCACACTTATTATTATTTCTACTATAATTATCATATGAGTATGTAAAGTTTTTGCTAACAACACTTGGATCCTTACAAACAAGGTTGGTTCTTCTTTCCATTAGTCAAAGATCGTGTTCGATATGAGTATATACTGGTGTTCGATTGATACAATGTAAGTATTGGTTGTATTCAAAGTTGAGATGCTTACAATACTTCCACAACTAATTTAACATCCGTCTTTTAATAACATCTGAGTGTTACATAGTATGAAAAGCAGAGTATATGCATTACTACCTACTTCAAAGTACTGTAGATAATTTTGTCGAACATGTCCTAAGTTGAATAATAGAAGAAAAGTTATCTTATAACATGATTCAATTTGAGTCATTCTATAAGAACAATAAAATTTGTAAACCCTCGTAACATATATTTTAGAAATGATATAGTTTACACACTGTCGAAGTTGCTTGATTGGCCGGAATTTACAGTACATAGTACTATACCACAAAAATAGAAAATAAGGCAAAAGTTTGATCATAAAAAAGCTAAGCTAGAATATGCTAATAACTTCACAAACTTCGTTCATCATGTAATTGGAAACTGCTTCAAACTAGTAGTTTAAATTCACACTAATAATTCAATGATTCCGAAAGCATAATTTCCTTGTAATTAGTTGAAGTCGACCGTTGAAGAAGAAGTTGATGAAGAAGAGGAAGATGATGGCGAAGCTGATGCTTGTGATGGCCAAAACTGCGCGTTCTTTACCTTGGATATACTTGTTAATACACTTAATGGTGTCACATTTCCTATCACGGTCACTTTTTTTGTTTCCAAATCTATGCTAAATGATGTCACCCCTGCATAAATCATGCCAAAATCTTAGTATCATGGTCTTTGATTTTTCGACACTATAACCTAAATCGAGGAACTACTTCAATAACATTAACTACAAAATGTCAAACTCCACCGAAGAAATACTTTGTAATGAGTCACCAAATTCCCAATTCTGTTATGATTTTAATCGATAAAATAATATAGGAACCAACATAACTTATAGTACGTGTGATATCTCAGTGTATAATGTATACGGGTATTTTATACTAATGTATTAAACTTTGTAATTAAAAAAAAAAAAAAAAAAGAATGGACTGACCTTCCATTTTAGAGAGATGTTTCCTAAGCTTGCCTTCACAACCTTTGCAGTGCAATGATACCCTCAGTACCACAACCTGCATATTCCCAATCAGTCAAAAACTACTCCAAAAAGGACAGCAAAAGACAACAAATTCATCAAATTTCATGTAAATAAAATTTTATAATACCCTTTTAACATATTCATAAACTCGAAATACTAACAATAATATTCATTTATAAACCAATAAAATCCAATCAAACTTCTGAGCATAAAGATACCCATTATTATCAAAAGCATCATTTTTTTAAAAATTAACCAACAAATTAATTATTAAGAAATAATCGATAAAGATAAAAACCTGGTCACGAGATCGAGCACCAGAAGAAGACGATTTCTTTACAACAAGAGAATCATTCCTGCCATATCCCATACTCTTTTGTCTCTGATTAATACCATCATAATCAACCTTATTATTCGACTTAATATCATTTCGATCACTCGAATTATTATTAACAAGTACTAATGACTTGCTAATCTTCTTATTATCTTTTTCAGCATCTAAGAACGACCCAAAACTCTTCGTTTCATGAGCTTCTTTACTCAATATAGGAGTACTAGGAATCAACGCCAAAGCATCATCATCATTGTTACTATTACTAAACTTTCTATTTTTAGTAATTTTGCTTTGATGATGAGATGACTCATGAAGTGAATCCAAGAATTTGGACTCACCTAAAAGGTACCTAGAGGAATGACTATGAGGTGGACTACAACTACCATTGTAGGTGCATTTATCATAGTACCGTCGTCGAACCTCGGCTATATCAACCGAGCTATTCCTTCTGGGGGTGGTGAGATCACTATGCTTGACAACAGAGCTTGAGGGAGGTTTTTTTCGGGTTTTTTCGCGGTATGACGAGGAAAGCCTAGGAGTGAAAGGAAGCTCAGAAATGCAAGGTGCTCTAGGAGAAAAGGAATAATTGTTAGTGTTAATAATGTTGTTATTAGTGAAATTTTTGTAATGGTCGTTTAAATATGAATTTAAACGAGTAAGAGATTTGGTAGTGTTTTTGACCATGTAACGTTGGTCTGTACTAGAACAAATGGCTGTTGAAGCTGGTGAAGTACATGAAAAATCTAAGCCTTTCATATTTTTGATATTAATTGGCATTTTTTTGAGAGAAAATACAAAATATATATGATATAAATGTAGCTTAAGAATTTTGGGTAGGTTTTTTTTTTTTTTTTTTTTTTTTTTTTTTTTTTTTGGTTTGGAGGAATATAAATTAAAGGAGGGAAGAAAGAGTTTTGATTTTGTAAGGGAAGAGGGTTGAGGGGAGGTGTTAGTTCTGCTTTTAAAGGCTGAAAACAGAGGATTTGAAGGGGATAGGGGTAGGAGAGATTTTTTAGGGGGGTTTATGTGGGGTCCATTATTATTGTTGGTTAAAAATTGAAATGTTGACTAAAGAATTTGTGTGAATGTTTTGTGTAGGAATAGGAGCTATTATATACTTCTAGGGGATTTTACCTAGGATAATTCATAATCATATTCATATGATTTGATATTGGGAGAGAAAAAAAAAAGTAAATATATGTCTCTAAAGCAAAACTTTCTTGTTTGGATTAGATTGCTAATTCTTATAATTATGTGATTGTTTATATTAGAAACTATACAAATATGATAAAGTTTATGTACTTTGTCCTTATTTATCTTTAGTGTTGTAGTTTAATTTTTTACACTATTTATATATCAGTAAATTAAACATAAAATTTTATTTTTGTTGATTAGTCCTTTATATAAGTCTCTTTTATATACTTTTGTTAAAATGTCAATCAAAGATAATATTAGTCAAAACTCAAAATAATATCTTGACAAACATGTTAAGTTAAACCATATAACACTTAATAATGAGAAAATAGTGAGAGTGAACAAAGTTGATTTTAAAGACGTGCTTTAGAAAGTATACACGTACTTACAAATTTATTCTAAACTAAGAAACCTTCTAAGATTACATTCAGATAGAGATATTGTATTTTTTTTTTCTCTATTTATTGTATATACAAAATTCATTAAATTTGAAAAAAAAAAATGACTAGTAGTGAAGAACTATTACCATGAAAATATCTAACAACCTCATGAATTATCCAAAGAGTTGAACCACCACAACATTTTATGATTAAACAACGACCTTTCGAGAAGAAATAAATTCTCAAACATTCCACTTATATGATCAATAGTCTTGCTAGTAGCTAAAAGTTACTTCCTAATCTCCCTCTTTCAATGAATGTACCTTTCATATTAGCAACTTGTGCCAAACTTTCTCTAATTTTCTTTCAATAAAGAGGTCTTCCTAATTAAAAAATTAATTAACTAATATATATCAATTAATTAAACTAATTTTGGGTGATATATTGGGTGCAAAACATCATCATTACTACCACTACTATACAAGATAGAGGTAATTTTCAACCCTAACTAATCTTATCATAATCATCTTAATTAATTAACATAAAATATAGATTAATCACCTGTTAATTCAAGGCCCTACCAAAAGTTTAATAATTTCATGCTTTTACCCTCAAAAGATGCACATGGGTTTTATCTCGACCTTCAATGTTGTAGCATAGTCTTTTTCTCATGGGGGACAACAAAGTTGTCACTTGGAAATTAAATTTTTGGTAGCAACATCATTATTACACATTTTTACCACTATAGTACTAGCTATATATGTTAAGGATTTATATGATCATTAACAAATCATTGTTCGCAAAAGTTTACTGAGCTAGCTAAGCTAAGATTGAATTTACATTCGACTTTTTTCTTCTTCCTAGGTTCCCTTTCCCTTCCTAATTAACCGTTTTACTTGGCTTATTTAGAATCTCACTTTAATGGATGAATGGTGTAATTGCTATTAATATAAATTAAGAAGTTGAGACAATTTTATGATTACTTTGCAAGTTCGCAACACAACATAATCGTATTATCTTTTTCATTGAACGTAGCAAAATGAAATATCCACAATTTGTTAAAGGTAAAATACACAAAGGAGTAAAGCAATCTTGAATTCTTTATGTAACTACATGAGGTAACCCAAAGATGCGACATAATTTACTACACCACTATTTAATCTTCTTGTATACATAGCCGAACTATTTGGTGTTGTTTCCATTCTCTTTAGCATGGATGATTACACACTCACTAAACAACAAAAATAAAGTAAAATTATAACCTAATTAGGTGTACATGTAAAAGCAAGCTATAATTCTCCTACACTTGTAAAGATTTTTATTTTGTTAAAGAATGTGGTTAATATATTGCATGAATTTACCGGTACGGTGGCGCGGCTAGCTTTTGCATTAATCTCGGATTACAAAGAATCTTCCCCTACTTAAGCTCACTAATATTTTAATTTGAATTTTAACTTTAATTTATTTTCAATGGTAATTGACAGAGTAGCATCTAAGCTAGCATAAGTAATCTAAAGCAACAACTAGTAATAAATCTTAGTATAAAATATTAGTTTGAAAGGGTCCAAAGAATTGCTTTGGATCTTCCTTGGTAAGTTTACCAAATTTTATCCTTTAATTTGTTTTTGAAGCAACAAATTTTATGGGGGACTACCAATTCAATGACAACATTCAAGGGATATAAATTAATACTACTAGTACCTTTCTCTGTTTTTCATTATTCCAATTGTTATTGTCATGAATTTATAAATACACACATGCAACTGAAAGTTGTAATTAAAACCCTTTCCTTCAATAAATAGTATTGGCCTACTCAAAGCAACGGTCAAATTGTCAGTCATCTCTCCCTATTGTATAATAAATATACGTAACTACTGTTAGCTTGGATGCTACATACATACAAATAAATAAAAATTGCACTCTTTCGAATAGACAACAATATGATCTAATCGGGGTAATTTTTGGATGATATATCGCAATATATATTGCAAGACATTAAATTTACTTAAATTTCAATATAAAGTATTGTAAAACCGTCTCATACAAAAGTTTGCACACGGTTGTTATGGAAGAAGATATTGAATTAGCAAGAAAAATTCTTTTTCTTAATGTTTGTCGTATGAATATATGATCAACATAATGCAAATTACTTAAAAGCCAACTTTTAACGTTATGTGGTGTATCGTGTATGAGTTTACCATCATTTAAGATAAGGAAACCTATCGATTCTACAATACATTACTCCCACCATCCCAAATTTATAATTAATCAGATCATATAAGTATACTTACTGTATATGTAATTTGATTTGAACGAGTATTGTGACAGTTAAACCCTAACGAAGAATGTAATTAAAATATAAAAAATGGAACAAGAGGCAGAAGGAATCAGCGTCTGCGGCACGTGAACATAAACGGTAATGTCCAGGGAAATTAGATGATAAGTGTACTTAAAAAGAGTATTAAGAAGTGGAGTATAAACTGGAATCTCCAGTTAATAATACTTGTACAAGGACAAGCTTTTAATACTGTTTAACTGACAATTAATTAATGCATCAGAAGGAGTAAATTCTTACTGATTACATCATTGAATTCTATGCTTCATTTTAATTGTATAACTGTAACTTTAGATGGATCATATGTTGCAGTATGTTAATTTAAGGCAAAGTTTAAGATGTGTGTTTTCATAACATCACTCGTGACTGACGTTGCCAGCCTTTGCTTGGTAACTAAGATTGTTAATCTATTAATTAATTAATTTATTTAATTACTAAGTCCAAAATGATTCAGCTAAATTCTTGGTGTCAAAGTTCGAGATGTTCTTTGCATTTTTGTGGACAATTAAAGTATTGAATCTTTATGCAGTGCTTAATTTAATTATAAAACTTTGTTATCAAAGAATTAAAACATAATTTAATAACTTTAATTATTATGTGTTGGGATGTAAAATTGTGTTTGCCGGAGAACACTAGGTTATAGGAGTTTTTAGGATCACCTTATTTACACTTATAAAGTAGGTGAATTCAAAATTGGATATATTTTCACAAAAATAAGTTATGATACGGATTAATGCATAGGGTGATATGCACCCGAATTTGTAGGGTTTGACCTTGTTTAAAAAGGTGAATAAGGTTTAACCTCAATTTTTAGATATTATTAATTTATTATCATAAGTTCATAACTCAGGAGTGTAATAACATAATTAGTACTCCCTCCGTTCCTTAATACAATGTCTCTTTTGAGCATTTATTCCTCACATAATAAAGAGAAAGAGGCATTGTATTAAGGGACAGGGGGAATAAATGACATAGATCCACTTATAATTTGTTGATTTTGAGATATTGTGCAAGTACATACATAAAATTAAAATGGACTTTTAACTGGCATATAAATATCTAAATTCAATTATTTCTACGTACTCTACACAAGATATCATTGAATTGGTCTTTTGTTTTTATATATAACATTATATGAACCAAATAAGTTTGCTCCACTTATCCACTATATGGAACTAGTGCTTTCTTGTAAAATTAATGAGATTAATACACATCACACAAAACAACTACGTAGTACCAACAAGATTTATTGTTTTCAATTATTATCAAACGAATTAATAATATGATGAAAAGACATTGGTCTTATTCAGTTGAGAATTTCAAATTTTACTTAGCTACTAGAATATGTTTTAGATGCTATTGAAAATTATCATGAGTTTCTAGGGCTATACGGAGTAATGTTTTTCACATGCCTATTTTCGTAGCAACTTCAAGGAGCTAGAATCTTCAAGGAGATCGAGAAGTTCTCCGTAGTAGTTACTAATTAGTGCATGAATAATGAAAAATTAAACTTAAAACAACGATATATTTCTTTCTCAAAATGGCAAATTAACCATTTGTAAGATTGAACTGTAACATAATTTAACTTTTTACGTATCACTAATTTAAGCGACCGGATGGTAATCTAAGATTAAAATAACAATACAGAATAGGATCATGATGAATTACAAAATCCTGTAATGGAATCCGATGCAATTGTTATGTACTACTTGCATGTTTTCCTAATTGCAGCACACTTGTATAGTGGTGTGTATGAGAATTAGCAGCCAAGAATGACGATACATCCCTTTCTCAAGTGTCATACGATTATGCCTCTTCATTCATTAAGAAACACCAAATTTGTGGGTCTTTCTTATGTCGACCGACCTATTATCTTATATACCAAAAAAAAAAAAAAAAAAAGTGTAATCCAATATGTTTGTAATAATTTACAAGAATTATGTGTGGGTCTCTACAATATTATTTGTTTTTTAGTCACGCGTTTAAAGACAACAATCCTTCCTTGCTAATTGTAAGAGGGGCCATGTTATTATGATCCTCAAATATCCTTTTCTTTTCATGTTTCTACGAAGTACTGTATCTTTTATTTAATTCTGTTAAATCTGTTTTCTTCATTTTTAAGTTTATTATTACTACCCCGTATGAGGCTCCATTTTAAATAATTATTAACACTTTACTTTTATTACTCTTGTAAATGAAAGACTTTGATCGAGTAAGTTACAAAATTGATGTTTCAAAAATAATGCATATTGAGAGTTGTAAGACAAAATCGAAG